CACGTTTGACGGGGCAAGCACAATGATCAGTGAATAATAAGGACTTTCTGGTAAAATAACAAATTGGCTCAGTACAAAAAGCTTTCTGGTAGATCTATTTCAATCCAATTACTGTTTTAGCCATAGGCTAAGAAAAGCTGTCGAGAAAATAAACAAAATTGTAGAGGTGGCAATATTAAAGAAATATCTGTACAAATTATCAACTGACAACGTTAGAACACTCTGGGAACGGTTTTGTTCACAACCGGGGATAACAGAAGTTGCTCTAAACATCCCGCATTAATCTAATACAAGATTCCTTTATATCGCAACAATTTTAAATATGTTATTCTGAAATGAAAAAAACTCAACTCCAGAGTGCCAAATATACAACGAATTGAGTTGAACCGAAGTGAAAAAGAATCATTTAAAATAATACTTTGGCAAGGTTTTTTCAAACTTGAGTGATATATCATTAAATATACAGTTGAAATAAATAGAGACAATCTATTTCACAACGACATATGTAAATGAGAATTTTGTTGTCATTTTGTATTTTGTTGATCATATAATTACCAAAATCAAAGTTGTTAGTGACTGGCTTCAAAAGAGAAACCTATCTTATTATGTTGTATATTGACGAATAATCGATCTCATTTTTTTTCTCATTGATTTCAAGACATGAATTAATGACCCTTCAGATAATAAACTTTTTTCACTACCATATTTGAATTGTGTTAGTCTTAATAAAAAGTTTAGCGTGCTTTAAGTGTGTTATTCTATTATGAATAGATGACTTCACGAAATTGGGTGAAAAGGAAAGCAAACCCGATTTCATGATTGCTTTCAATTTTTGTTTTCTTCCAGAATATGAGAAAGTGAAACAAAACACTTTCACTGAGTTAAACATGGAAATAACAAGATTTAATGAATGGAAAAGGAGTCATCAACAAACAATATTAAATTTGGAAGCTGTCAACGATAAACAAATCGAATGTGAAAAGCAAATCATTTTTAAATATTGTAAACTTCAAAAAAAGAAAAATGGATGGTGCAAAAGAATTGTTTAAAAATGAAAACTCGAAGATTCTATCCGCGAAAATACAAAATTCAAGGGGAAAAGGGCAAACTAATTGAAAGAAACTTTTATTTCAACTCACAATGTGACCTCATTTTTGGTTTTCAGCCAAATGAACGAGAGTGATCTTGCGTTGTTTCCATTGTTGTTGAATTATTCACAGAAAGTTGAAGCTTAAATTGTAACATCATGTACTGTCGAAAGATCGTTTTCCAGACTGAAAAACGTTTTGAAAAATAACATGAATGCTGAAACTATAAATGCTTTATTTGAAGTCAAGGAAATCAAAAAATAAGTACTTTAATTTATTAATCTTATTTTAACTCGTTTCATTGTTTATATTGATCAGTTTTTTTCTATTTGTGTATTGTTTTTTATGTCATTATTTTATACAAATAGAATATAATAAAATATATAATAACTACTTTTGTAATGAGTTTTTAATATATTTATTTAATAAATATTTATTTTTTATTTAAATTAAAACCAATAGTATTTTATTTATTAAATTATTGTAAACAATCAATTATTGGTACAGGCAGTGAAGTGAAGGAATAAATTTTCAATTGATTGCTAATAAAAAAAGTTTTCTTATCACGAAATATTTTATTTTGATTGGCTGAAATTGTCATTCTCAATAAAACTTTTATTTAACAAGCCGAATTTGTTCTTTTTATTATAATAAATAATGACATTTTAATTATCTTTTTACCATTTTGTTTGTTTGGAAATTATATTTTATAGTTATTTTAATCATTTATAAACTATAGAAAAACAACAATCACACATAAACCAAGAAGCGAATAAACCAATAAAAAACATCACTTAACCAAACTTGGCAACAAAGCAAACTTCACAAATCCTGCTTCATCACAACTCAAACAGATGATAAGCGTGTTTGTTTTTGCCAGTTCGCCCAATAGCAAATAACCACACTCACAACTTACCATTAATTAAAGATCTTAAGGGTGATGTAATGAAATTTAATATTTGAATATTTATGTAATAAGTGATAAATAATGACAAAATAACAATAACATACGTGTTAAATGACACCATAAATATTTAATCTTTGTTTTTTTTAAACAAGAGTTAATGCTTGGTGTTTGCCTTTTTCTTCTTTAGACTTCAATTTATTTTTGAAGTTAGTTCAATTTTATTTTTCAACTTATTTTTTAAGCAAAGTCGAATTTAAAATTAATCTAAAAATGGGTCTAAATTTTTCAAAATATTTTTTAGTTTTATGGACCAAATAATTAAACCCAAAAAAATAGTAAAAATATGACGTAAAATTGTTCAATTATTCTCAAAACCATTTTATTTAGTATTCAATTGAAAATTTATACCTTCACTTTACTGCCTGTATAATAAATTGATATATTATTACATTTTTTCAAGTTTTAATTATTTTATTGAATTTTTTAATAATTCATAAAACCCCATTATTATGAGTTTTGATAATAATATTATTTAAAAGATAAAGAAAATCAGTTAATATAATTGATTGTTTTTAAAGAGGGTTTAGTTTTTTATTTGTTCAATATAATATGTAAAGTGAGGCGAGAAACCCACACCCTGAGAAAAAAACCGCACCTATTTTTTTCTTCTTTGAGAAGCTGTTGAATGAATAAAGGTTCAGTCTCAGTTTTTTTGTTAATTAAGAATGTTCTTATAATTAAAATACAATATTAAAACTACATGAAATTAACTTAAATAACAAATATAAATTATTAGGAAATTAAAAATTAATATCTATTATCCTGATATTTCTAATGAAGTGATTAATTAGCTTTTGAACATATTTTAGGTTTAATTTTAATATAATTTATTAAATGTTTAGATTAAAAAATATAATATAAGGTTCAGTACCTAATACATACTTTAAACAATTAATTACTGATTAGTTTAATATAGTATCTAAACTATAGATTGTTATTTCAGTTTATTAACCATAAAAATACCAATAAGTAATCAATAATTTATATCCACTTTAAACCCATTTCTAATAGTTAATAAATTATATTTATCAAACACTCAAACATAATAAATAACATAAAAAAACAAACAAACATTAGTCGCGCGTAATTTGCATTATCTAATTGTTAATTTATATGCATTGTGTGTAAATAAATTTGCCAAACAGTAATGAGGATACGCAACAACTCAACACCAAAACATCTCTGTTGTTCATGTTGATTTTGAATATT